TAAGTTAATTGACTTTTTATAACTTAATTTTTAACTTATATTAATTGACCAAGTACAGAACGTACGTTAGTATAACCATATGCTGCACACCGACATCCATGCCATGCATTTGTGCCACAAATAGGATGACCATCGGGTAGTACATCGCGAACCCATTCATGTGGACATTCATACCCAGGGGTAACACAAAACGGGTCACACTTTCCGGTAGTTTTACATTCTTTTCCATCGACTCTATGATCACCGGTAGGGTAATGGCACTGGTATTAGAAAAATATAATTATAATAATTAGCATTACCTGGTATATCAAATTAATAGTATAATTTACCTTGATGCCGTGCCAAGGGCCAATATGATAACCGGGCTAATTTTCTTATAAAATGTAAATGGATTTTTACGTACTATATTGTACCTCCTTTGGGGGAGGGTGGATGTACTATAAATAATTTTCGTGGCATTGAAGTAAGCTACAATTAATTTAATTAAATAGATTCAATAATTAATTCTGTTATTACTATTTGTAATCAAGGTGGCCATAATGATGATTGTTGGATTTTTAAAGGTTTATGATCTATCTCATAAATTGCAGATATTAAAACAGTAATTTTATTATTATTGTACCTGTAAGTTATATTCATTTTATTTTTAGAAGCATAAATGAGCAAATATTTCATTAAATTAATATTTGCATAACATAATAATAATTTTTAAAATGTTTAATTTCAAGTAGGAATTATTACAGTGTTTACTTGCTATATGAATAAATTTCATTAAATGTGTAGTATCTACTGCTATCACATTGTGTTAACATGCACTATCTAAATATTAATTTATATATTTTTTTTATATTTTCAAGGATGTATGCTTCTACATATGCTATTTATAAAATATTTTAAGAACTTGTCATTGATAATTTATATTTTGTAGATATTTTTTAAAAATATTTTTAGTTAGTATGATATATACAGGTATATTAAGTATGCTAGATCAGAATTTAATCATCTNTTTTAGTTAGTATGATATATACAGGTATATTAAGTATGCTAGATCAGAATTTAATCATCTTTATGAAAAAAGCCATTAGTAAAATAACAGCTAATAAAATATGAAATTACTTTTGGGAAAAAACATTTGATTAAAGTTGTTTATAAAACTTAGAATTATAATTTTACATATAAATTACAGAATTATTTAAATACGTTATTTTATTCAATAAATAACATATACTGTATTGTGTTATACAAGTCTCATACATTATCCAGCAAAGTACATGTGCACTATATTTTATATCAGGGATATAATAAGAAAATAGTTTTGACCAAAAGTGTACAGATATTGATACAACTCGTAGCTATTCATAGGAAACAAGTCATAGCAATAGTATCCGATGTCAGGGCCCGACAGTTGCTGAATGAATGTGTCGATCGTAAGCCTATGGCGGACTGATAGGGTCGGCCCCGCGGTTGTCATATATGCCAATAGTGTCGGGTATGGCCTCTGAGCGGCGGTCGATACGCGGGAGCACATGATAAACAATAATAGTATGAACACAAACACCACGACAAATTGTGCAGCCAATAGCCGGGTCAATAGGGTCATACCTGGTCTATAAACCGCATATATTGACACCTAAAATTAATAAATGTTACTGAATTAGTAATTAATCTAGCAGAAATCGTTTGAATATTATCATACGTATAAATCACTAAAGGTGAGATAAGCAATCAATTATTTTTAAACATAATTGTGGTAATTGTATCATTAAACTAATCTAGTTAATATAAAATTAGTCCGATACCTGTAGGCCAACTGTAGTGAAATAATAAAATACAAATAAAATGAGCCTGTGACAACGGTTAAATCTGGCCACCACAGTAGCGTAGTAATTGTGCTCGACAATAGCCTGTATAATTTGTACATGGTTGTCGAACTTTATGGCCAACATAATTTTACGATCAATCTCTAAAAAAGCTTGTTTCGGATATTTAATTCCTATAGAAATTAGCATGATAAAATGTATAAAATAGAATATGATATCAATTAAAAATTAAATAAGGTACCTAGGTAAAATGCCACAAATCCGAATACAATGAGCCCGGTGGCTACGACTACAAAGAATACGTTTGTCACATTAAATATGACCAAGCTAATAAAGCCGTGCCATGTTGGTCTATTGTAGAATACTAAGCCGGTCAGTATTATGTGAGCAGGGTATATCATCATAAAGCCGAATACAATTCCCGGTAAAATTATATAATACCCAAAAAAGTTAGCACGCAAAATTAGTTTATGTTGATCTCGCACATTTAGCGGATATTTAATTAAACCATAGTTTAACATGTGTATGAAACCAAATGGGGTTAGCAAGTTACTTTGCTCCATGTACATAATCAGGGTTAAATTGATAAACGCAGTGGTTGGTATAACAGACAAAAATGTATACATAACGCGCCAATCACCAATGTACTTGCTAACATCCAAAAGTAACATTTCAAAAATAGGATTATTGCCGGAAAGTATCAAGATAATAAATCTGATACAATTAATAAATCCAAATACGCGACACATCAGGCAAACATAAAATCTGCATTGATCTCGGTAATTTAGTAAATACTCACTAGTATTTCGAGATACTGTTAGTAATGTGTAGCGACAGCACCACTCTGTTTGTTTAACCAAGGTACTTAACTTATTATTATACTCAATAAATAAATTAAAGTATTTAATTATTTTCGCTTTAATCATG